AACCACTATCACTTCAAAATATACCCTCACTCCAATGAATTTGGAAGTAAACATCATCAGAAGTTACACAACAACAGTAATTAAGTTTTAGTTTATAAGATTATAATTTTTAACTTTACACCTGAAGATGGTTCAATGTAACCGAAACATGTAGTAAAATGATGTACCAAATATGTAAATGATATTTTAATATCTTATGTATAAATTTATTTATATACAATTGTGATTAGACGGAAAAGACACGAATAATTAAAAAGAAGTTATGTAAAAAATGGGCGTAATTATTAAATTTCCTAAAATAATTCCAGAAACACCTACACCATAACAACTAAATTTTTAAAAGGCTCTGAATTAGGAAAATATTAAAACACTGTTTCCCGAAATATGTCTTCTGATGTTGTGACAATACAGGCGCATAAAACGTAGAGGATTCTGCTATTGAACATTGCCGCGAGGTTTAACCAATGGGTGTATCGTTTAAATGCAAATCAACTTGCAAAATTGGAATCCAATTTTGGTTTATGGACTTTCCCCCTCCCTTTTTGCTTTGTTCCTAGAGTACAGTGAGTGGGCCATTACATTATTCCTGCCTGGGTTAGGGAATGGGGCAGAGAATACAATGTGTTCCATATTAGGACATTATAGACAGCGGATTCCCTGCCCTAATGAACTACCACCTATCAGGCTCTCTACAGCCAAACCGAAATAAGAGGATGCCAGGAAATCCTCAATCGAAACGCAGGCAACTCAAGTACAGTTGCCAACAAAAAATGTTCACGTTGGGCTTTATTCTTTCATTCAGTTCTCTGCTTTTGTCATTGCGCTATTGATCTCCCCCGATATACACAAATAATAATAAAAATACATAAATATTAAAACGTTTTTAATTTAGTTAAGTCGGTTAACATTTAAAATCCTAAAATGATTATCAGAGATATTTTTAAAATGTTACGCAACTAACAAAAGCTTGCGTATTTTACAATGGATCATCTTAATCACAGAACAGCTTCGTCACTCCGTACTGGTAAAACAAATGAGAGAGCAGAGAATTCTTACACGAATCATCGCCATCGATGTTGCAGTTTTAGTGTTGTCCCCACTTACAAATTTACATGTTGATATTTATATCACGAGGGCGTAAGAGTTAAACAGCCCCTGGACCTCTAATGGCATGACGTTCATTGTCACGAATGGTTAAATAATTCAGTCATTTTCGGATATTTAAGTGGTTACACCAGTTAGCGCCGAAAAGATTTCACTAAAACTGGTCATTTCTTGTCTATAAATGTAATGTGTGTGTCAGCAACGGCATGCCATTAAAAAGACAGGCAAAAATACGCCCAACCGAGCAGAATCTGGCTAAAACAGCACACACCTGCCACTTTTATTAAATATTTCTTATATGAGGGTAATATAAATGATTCCCATACGACAGCACATAAAACTGGCGAAATTTCAAAATAGTAATCCTAGAATCTACGCACTAAATTCTGTCCGTGAACACTATAATGGTAATGAGGGAATAAATACTCGGAATCAACGTCTTTATTTATTGAGAATGTTACGAGCAATTACAAAAGACTTCATCAAAACGAGGTCACGCATTAACATTTTAAACGTGCCGCGTACACCCTGATCAGTGATCGACTGCAAAAGCCCATACATTATAAAGTGGACAACTTCTGTCGAAACCAAACTAAAGTTCGTGCAGGCCTACTTGTGGATATGCCAGTTGGGAACGAGAATTTTCGTGCGTCACTGTATAAAATAGGATAAAGTCTTCAAAGGTCAGAAGGCAAGAAACTAAAACATTTGCGATATTTTCAGCCTACGAGCCAGTAAAACGTCGTGGCAAAGTTCACTTTCGCTGCACACCACAAACCAAGGAACCACAGAAACCCCAAATTAAGCTCTCACAAAACACATCAGTCCTCTGTTCGAATCCCTGTATGGAAACTAACTAGAGTGACAGAGATCTTACGTGGTTAATCCTTGTACACGATTACCAGGATAGTAAAATGACGGACATGGCCCTTCAATTCATCCCCACTAACTAAAATAATAATCATTATGAAAATACATCTTTCTTAAAATTAATCATCAGTGCAGATAATGTATTTCAAAGACAGAAAAGAGTTCACGTTGACACCACGTTATGAGGGCGTCCTTAGTTTGCGGATAGAGGAGACGGCCTTCATATACGTACTGATGAAGCAAACGCGGACAGCCGACAATGGGTTATCCTCCAAACCGGGAAATTAAAATTGGGACAGTATACTGAAGTAGGATATAACCCTTCCTTTCTAATGACTAACTTCACAGATCAATTTCTTCTACAGGACCTAGCAGTCCCTCAGCCAGTCAAACAATTCCCTGATTTTGTGAAACCGAAGATCTGTCTATCCATTACCACTCTGCTCATTCAACATGCATTTTAACATTATCCTCCCACCTACCTACTCCTAGGTATTCCAAATGGTCTTCCCTTTAGTTTCCGACCAAACTTCTGTGCGTATTTTCAATTCCTCTCTCGCCAACATTCCTTTCGCCAATACCAACTTTAATGGCAAGCGACTATTAATACTTGTACAGACGGACGGCAGAAATACATCTGTCTGCAGGAACCGAGAAAAATCCATGAAAGATACGAATCGAACAGCGAACCCAATTTCGTCAGACAGGAATAAGGATTACACATAAACCCGATGTAGATTAGGTGGGTGGGTGGGTAGATGGTTACTTGGCTGGTTGATTGAGAGTGAAGCGGGGAATGGGGTCACAGGACTTAAAAAAAACCAACCGCTTTAGGACACCAACTTTAGCTCGATCAATAGACCTCACGGCTTAAATTTTAATAAAACAAGCGTAATATTCCCCGACCACAATTGCATACATCCCTAAACACTGGATAACTAAAATAAAGTTCAGGTATTGACAAAGCATCGGCGTGCACTTTATACTAAAGTTTTGTTAATCTAAGTCCTGCGCCAAGTGCCTATCCAAGTCTTACGCGTGTGTATGTCTTTATAAGTAGATGAGAAACTCAAAGGCGATGTTTTATCCTACGTAAGTAAACTTTAAATAACTCCACTGAACAGTCCCATGATAAGTTAATAATCGCTTAAGACATAGCCAAGAGACACTACATTTTACAGACCCTTGAGGAAAAATATAGTGTTCGCCACTGCTTCCGATCCCCAGTCGGATAAATACAGAACAAACCCTTAATATTATTTTCAATATTATTATTCTGCCTACGGCTAAGCCCCCCAAATAGTCTCTTCCTTTCAGGATTTTCGTATCCATTTTTCATCTCGGCCGTACACGATAATGTTATTATACCCACATCATTCTGCTAGATTTGACCTCCCTAACGATATTCAGTGAAGAGTAAAATTTATGGAGCTCCTCATTATGTAATGTTATCCAATCTCCTGTTGGTTCCTCCCTCTTATTGCCAAACATTCTCCTCAGACCAATAGAGTTTCTTGCTTAGGGCAAGTGTCCAAGACCAAGCGAACTTCTATAACTAATTAACATATATTCACAAACATAAATTAGACACGAAACAAGGTTTACATAATATCTGTAGTATTCTGCCTCTAACTTTCACTGTCGGAAACTCACTTAAAAAGATAGTAGGCTTACACATACTTTCAAAATACGTTCTTTGTTATTACATACTTTTCTGGCTTTGATGTTCATTTATTACTTACTGAAATCTTGTAGTGAGCAAAAGTTATATTTTCATTGTATTATTAAATGCCTAACCTCACTGACTCAAATACTTTACCTTCTCTACGTCACCAACATATAAGTAGGTCTAAAAGAGACCAAAATGGAATTTTCCTACATCTCACTGCACAGCTCCCACCCAGATCCATCAAGTAGTTCACAAACCGAACTGTCTCACCAGACAGATGCTGTTGATGTTGGGATGACGAAATTAAGAAAACGGATAAGAAAAGCATGTAAATCTGTCGAAACATGTTAAGGAAAGAGAGATATATGGAATGATAATATTAAAATTAATCTTGAGAAAATAGGGTTAGAGAATGTGGAATGGATTCATCTAACTCAGAAAAGGGTCCACCACTGAAAAGACGCCCTTCAACACAGAAAATGTAAAATTCTTCATAACGTTTACTGGCTTGTTGACAAAACTCGCAAGAAATGATAGAAAACTTTCAACCTATTGGCAAAAGGATAGACCACCCAATTCTGCGTTATGGAGGGATTTTGCCATCAAAACTTCGAATATAGACGGCAGTTTAATTTCAAGATTAAACTAATTCACAATTTACTCTCAGAGTTTGCAACCGACCGCTCACAAAATGGCCACATGGGAACGAGTAAAGAAGTGGGATTATTGCTATCTGGCGGGAGCAGGCGGTACTAAAAAGCAAGTCAACGACGGCATACGACTGACGGAGTGTTATTAGGAGCATTACAGTGGGGTGATGTCTAGTGGGAAGCTTGCAGACCGACTGAGAGGCAAGCCAGGTCATGTCACACAAAATTAGAGTCCACGTTTATATTGCAAAATTATATATTTTCCTTAACGTCCATCGTTAAAACATTAAAAACATCATTCATATGGTACAAACCACAGCACAAAGGCAAACCACTCGAATTATAAAGGCATGTGTTCAAAGATGTCAGTGACCAGCAATTCCACGCTTCACGTTCGTTCCAGCCCGTCAAGAAAATCAAAACATTACTCATCGCAGTCCTGTTTCGTTTATTCGTCGAACCCTGGTTCCTTTTTGACTTCAATGATTCGCATTTCATCCAACAGTCTCTGGGCTGTGGGTGCAAAAACGTTGATCAAAATCGATACCAAAAAACAAATGTTGAAAGTCAGCCAAGTCTTCAGAAAGACATGCATAAGAAATTTAGAAGAACACGGGTCTACCCCAATGTGCACGGTATTTTTTACCCTGGATAACGCCCAACATCGCGAACACAGGAACGACGTACAACCAAATATTATTATATATTATTTAGTGTTCTGTGTGACGACAGGTCCATATGAACAGGATCCTTCCATCCTTTTCTCGGACTGGGACCTGTTCATATACGTTCTTGGCAGATGATCCAGAAGTGGTTTGCCATTGCCTTCTTCTGTGTGTGAATGGAGTAATTGTTGGGATGCCACGGAGGAAAACTCCGTGTTGCCTAGACCACGGCCTTGCCCAACACAAGTTATAAATGCGGGCACCGCCGGGAATCGAACCCGAGACCCCAGGATTACAAGGCCAGCGTTCTAACCGCTAGACCACCGTGGGGTCACAACCACATGTTCAATTGTAAATGGGAAACCTAGTAGCTGTGTTGGAAATAACATTTTAATTACACAAAAAATTAATTTAAACGTTTTAAATATAGTAGCCTACACAAAATGGGCTCTCATTAGAACGGATTATAGATTAAATGAAGTAATATTGGTAGGCCTACTCATTAAAAATACTTCTGAAGTAAGTTCAGATTTTTATGGCTAACTGCAGAATGTAAAGGGAGTTACTCTATCAATGAAGACTTGATCTCAGTCTTCTCAACAACTAATTCCTGAATTCGGCAGAGTTGAAATTTCTTCTAGTAACTTAGCAACTATTTTCTTTTTCTGATACACCAGCAGCGAGTCTGTAGTTATGGACCTTCCTTGAATAATGTGCATTTGGGCCAATAGCGAACGCAGTGGTTATGTTTACTTGTCGGTATAACGTGATTCAGTATTGTGTATATTTTCTTAAATTCTCCGCTAAAAAATTTCGTCGAGCGCACTCGAACGCTGCGATATTTAGAAGTCGGTAAAGGGTTTATTGTACTAATATTTGTTTCTTAAACTGGCATAACATGGCTATTTTGTGTTGTTTCGTAAGGAAATAAGGAATTTCCTGCGACTAGACTGGAAGAATAGTTCTGAGGAAACTGGCAAAGCCTTTGCATTTTGTCGGGATAACAACAGATACATCTGCTTCCTTCGTAAAATTAATGAATTTGATCCTGAGATTCAGACTGTATATTTTTTGAATACAAAACAGAAATAATGTGATCCGTAAATTGATAATAAAATATATTATCCAGTAAAATTGGTCGTGCAATAAATAAATAAATCAAGCTACTGCATCGATATCATTGTTAAACTTATCGATGTTGTCTAAAACCTTCCTTTTCGTTTGTAATAAAAGTCCATGTATTCAATAAAGCATACGCTAATCGGCACTTTTCTCTTGCCAGCATTCTATCTGCCTCTCACATTCTACGCCACGTTTTCTTATTCTCCCCTGTACCTCCTCTGCTTAACTTTACGTAAGCCCATCTCAAATCTACTCCCATGAGATCTGCTCCCCACCTTCCAGGAAATTGATACCTTTCGATGATTTCCTTATAACTTTTCTACCCCTCGCCCTTCTACCACCCTCCTTCCGCCAGCCAAGTCTACATCAATCATAGAGGATTGGTAAAGCACATGAAGGTGTCTCCTTCTTTCGATCGTCATACTTGCCATGAAATTGGCAGAGGAGAGAAGGAATATCACGTGACAGTGGAAGCAATCCAAATACGGTATGAGCATGGAAGACCCCGGTTATCCTACTATGTCGTTACATATAGATATATTAATAAATCTATGACGAGACTACGCAGTCTCCAAATCATTCTATACTTCATTCCAATCGTTTAAAAGAGTCAGGGTACAGTCAGGAAAATAATTCTACCACACACAAACACTGTTGTCAGGAGGTTTATCTTGTTCCTATGAAATAGATCTAAAATTCATGCAAATTTGGTTCTAATAAATTTAAACTGTCTAACAGATATGTGAAGGATAGATTCTTTATTTTTCTATACACGGGAGTGTTTTTACATCTATAGTTTGATGCGAAACTGAGCTGTCGGCTACTCGTACGAAACCAAAAACTTTAAACTTTGCCATAAACTTCGAAGGGACACTTGACAAAAACATTCACCTCGCTGGTGGGTTTCCAAGTCCCTTAAAATACTACTAGCGTGGTGTCTTACAATAAGCCACGGCTAATTTTCCCCACACATACACCATTTAACCACTCGCAGTAATTCTTAATATCTCATTTAATGATACATAATCTCTGCAGATGATTAACCAACCTTTTACATAACCTACAGAGCAAACATATCACTGTTCCATGACACGCCCATTGGAAACTTAGAAAATCCCGGTCACGAAAACCTTCCTTGGTCCTTCAGAAGTTAAAACAAACATGCAAACTCCCAAAGAGCCAAGGCGTAATGATGTTAATTACGAAATGCTATTTTACAGTATATTACATTAAGTTTAAGACACAATTTCTGTCTCAGTAATAAGGTAAGGTGAAACTTTCATGCCTGTAGAACTTCCAAAAGTGATAATCCACTAATTAAACAACACAGGCTCTTTAAATCAAAGCCCATTATACTCTAATTATTTTAAAATTATATTGAGCTTCCGTAGAACACGAAATGAAATCGTGGGGTTCATACCCCGTGCATTCTAGACCTTGGCACTAGATGGAGAAGAATTCTCAGCTTCACATACCGGCCGCTTTTACTCCCGGAGAGAGTTACCCTTGTGATAAATTAGCAGAAGACTAGCTGGGTAAAAGCCACTCAGAACTTTTCAGTAAAGGAAAGAATTTGCTTCATCCCTGTAGGGAATCAACCTCTGAACAGTTCACGGACTCCAGATATAGGTTATGTATGTGAATATGTTGAATACAGCGTACAGCTGGTACGGGTGGTTCTCCACTTTTGAGTAGACTTCTAGACGTGTGACTAATCACTGATATAACTCCATGAAGCACAGCCCTTGTTGTGAATCTGACAGTCACTCAGCTTGTCAAGAAATTCACCTCCAACTGTTAAATTACGTACTCACGACACCCCGCCATTAGGCCTTACCCCAGCCACTTGAATCCACCCCACATCCTGTCTCTCTAATGCTAATTTTAATATTACTTTCCCATCTACTCTTAGGTCTCCCAAATGGTCTCCTGTCTTCACGCTTTTATATCAAAATTTTTTATGCGTTTTTCATTTCCCTATGCGTGCTTCATGTCCCGTCTATCTCATCATCTTTGACTCGATGTCACAAAAAAATACTTTCTTCGGTGAAAAATTGGCACTAACAGCCTCTCACTGCAGAAAGAGCGTCTTGTGAAATCCGTCACATAATATTTTAGTCCAAATTTTTCCCAGGTTATCAAATACATGGAAGTAAATACCCTATAAAGTGGTGAATAGATGGGATATAATAATAATGACTTACGCGAAATCTGTTTAATGCATGTAACACGTATTAAAAACAAAATGTATTTCAGAAATAGCTGCTGCACTATGTACCATAGGGCCAATTACAACAACAACAATAATAATAATAATAACAATAATAATAAGTCACTCAAAAAATATTTGGCCAACATCCCCGGCGAAAACGACCTTAGGGAACTTCAGAAACCCACCATTCTAGGAACGTCATACATCATTCTAAAGACTCCCATGAAAAATATACAATGCCCCACGCAAAATCTGTGTAATGAATGTAACACGTATTAAAAAAACAAAATTTATTTCAGAAATAGTTGCTGCAATATACCTCAGGGGCAAGGTTTGTCTCGGGTACATACAAGTAAATACCCTATAAAGTGGTGAATAGATGGAATAATAATAATAATAAGCAATCGACTACGACTGATTGATTGGATCGTATATTACGTAGTGACGTTGGTTCTACTGCAAATATTATACAGCGTCGATTTAGTTACAATCATGAATGCAGGAATGAATATGATGGAATCCGTTGAGACATTTTCGTGTTTGCAAGAGAGACCGCGGCAACAGAAAGACATTTCTAACCGGCGGCCTTAACGTACTCAGACGTGATCTACACGTGTGGACTATCAAAAGTTATAATGATAGTCTATTACGAAGTCCTCACTCCCTCCGAACACACACACATTCAGCCTTGCATCGCAGAAGTGTTCCCATAATGCCCTGATCCCGTAAGGCCCCATTAAGGAACTGTTCTACCTATAAAAGCCGATATTCAGAATCCGACACTTCAAGACGCAGACAAAACTACCGCAAACCCAAATTCCAGGGTCCTTTTGTCTTCACAAATCTTCTAAATTTCTATTCACATTCTGAACACCTCAAGCTGTAGGCAACATAGATATTATTATCTACGGAGTCAAAGAAAAAAGCATAATTATGCGTTCCTCGCACAAATTGGACGTAGAATGTGTAGGATTTGAGGTTTTCAAGGTGACGTGTAATCAGATGGTGATGTTCTGGGTTGACATGCCATGCAGATTTCTAACAGTATCCCGTTTCGGAAGAATATACTGTCTCCGCCTTCAAATCTGAAGATGGAGACAGTATGTTCGTCCGAAACGCTGGTATACAGCCAGGCGAAACAATTCAGAAAACCATCTGTGAATGTAAACCGTATTCATTAATCCGTCTACCCACGTTTCCGATATTACTGAATGAATTTCGGTTAAATTTATACTTTGGATATACAGCGAATGTAACTATGGTTCGTATTGATACAACACTACCCTTACGAAAAATCCAAAATTGTCTAAAAACGCATCATCGTTAAAAATTTGTATACCATGCCCATAAAACAAAGCCTGAACAGAACTGTTATCTAAAACTTTCATTTCAAACCTCTAGTGTGGTAAATACTTAATCCGGGCTACAAGCCGCGTCAGGTGGCTGAGCAGTGAACAAATTATGTCTTCTGCCAACGTTTCGAGAACAATCTCTGCTCTCATCCTCAGGGCTGCTGGGTAGCCTATCCGTTCCTTTGTTGCGGGCTAGCTGATGAGTTCCCAGAAGATGTGGTTTGTTCACCGTTCAGCCCGAGAATCTTTCAACTTCAGTCGCCGCGAAAGCTTCACCTCATAAAATATTTAATACCTTAAAACCCAGTGGTAACTATATGTACCACTTGTTTCAACCAGTAATTTTGCATTCTGCACACAGTACAAACAGGAATGAGCCCCAGTTCCCACCGGATAAGTAGACTAGATAGAGCGATTAATGAATAATGAATTAGAAAGGTTACAGAAATATCGTTTCGCACAGCCTAATCGCCATACCTTATTTAGACGTTTAACTTTCCAGCATGAATATTTTAACTGCCTTGTCATCAAACGACCAGGAATTTTTCCAACTGTATTGTACTCGAAGATCTCTCATAAGCTATCAATTAAGAGAGTGTTACAGAAAGTTGAATTAAATTAACATAGGACCCAGTCGTAGTCAGTTATATTTCCGTTTTAAAAATCGAGGGAATATTTAATTTCCCCATGCTATGGCCACCGGATTATGCGGAAAATTGCTTTCGTGAGGCAGACTGGTCACGCGAAATCGATTTCAACCTACCGTACCTAATCCAACGCCATGCCTCTGACATCTACTGGCAACTATATACACTACATCCAAGAATGAAAACAATGAAGACGTGTATGCGTTCAAAACTCTACTCGATGAGTGAGGATACAACCACTGGGAAAACGTCGTTAAAAAAATAAAGGAATACCAGTACCCACTCGGAGTATACATTTGGTTGATTTCAACGCGCTCTGCAAACAGAATATTATCACTACAAAAGCACATCAGTTCCGTATTCCTAGTTACAAACAGTATGTAACAGAATATTATCACTACAAAAGCACACCAGTTCCGTATTCCTTGTTACAAACAGTATGCAAATGAAAGGCCATTTTTAAACATCGCAGAAGTCTTTTGATGTGCTATTATATTGTCCTTATTACACGACATTTCTGTTTAACGTAATGACACTGAGACGTTATTATAACAAAATTCTCAAGCAACGAAAGAGCTCTCAAGAGGGAAACGTATGTTTAAAGCTACGAAGGGTGTGTTGGGTGGGGGAATTATATTCTTGCATCTTGTTTGCTGCAGTTTCCCTTGAATGAGTTCAAATACTGTACAAATCTAATTTGCGTGTTTAATCTTCTGCGCTTCTATTATAGCTCCATATTACAGTTTGATCCTGCAACTGGGTCCAAATGATCACTCTCTAAGGCTTCCCAACAAAATTACAAAGTAAATAAGTAATTAAAATTCGTCTTTCACTTACAAATTTTCCTTTTACTTCTTATGTTTCTTCTTCATTCTTCTTTGTTTTCAATTGTCCTCTATGTTCCATTCTTTCTTTAAACATTTTACACTTATATTTCGAGTACGCTGTATCAAGACGATAGTCTCCTCGTCAATATGTACTGCTCCAAAATTAAAATGTACCAGTAAGAGTGTTGTGAATGTGCTTACATTCCATATACAGTGGCCTAAACTTTAAACTCTCGTCCGAAGACGTCGTCTATCCGAAAGTTTTGTTTCTACTTAAAAACGGTATATTCGAAATCAATACCGACATAAGTAACCTAGCCTCATCAACATTTCTTATTAGCGTCATTCTCAAATTCCTCTGGCGTACAGCACTACACACAGAGCCAATTTCATGAGATCAGAGCTCTAACCTGAACCATTAGAACGTAAACTAAAAACGTTTCCAAAATACAATTGAAGCAAAAACATTAACTACGTCAATCTCTCATTACCTACAGAAAGAAGGCTGTTTGACACTTACCTTTTGTATGATGTGATCTGGATTGATTCCGAGTTCTGAAAGAGAAAAAAATATTTAATACCTTGGACGCGGTATTCCACAAAATAATAATCAGTTACGTGTTTAAGTGGCCTCTGGTTCAGATTCAAATAAATAAATTTAATTTTGAAGATAGCTCCCTCGGACAACAAGCACCCCTGAAACGTTCGTAAATTTCTACCAGATCACACAGAAGCCACAAGACCCAATCTTAAGTTAAAATAAATTCGTGGCACAATTTTAAGTTCGATTCTGAAATTAAAAATCGCTGTTACGTCATGAAACAGCAAGAAGATTAAAACGTAAAATTCCCTCATACTTAGAACCAGTAAAATCTAACATAAAAATAAAAGTATTTTTATGTTACCCTTTTTATGGAGAAACTAATAACAGATTTTTCTGCGGGAAAACGAAGTGTCCAACAAGCTATAAAGTGGTCTGTCTGTACGTTGAACAACCCCAGTTTCTTAAAAGTAGTCATAAATTTAAGTAATTTAATCCCCGCCTAAGATGTTTGAGAGTTTTGTACGGAATCCAACACTAACATGACTGACCTTTTCCTGACAAACATATTTTAAGCAATTCAATTCTCCTTCGACAAACCAAAAGAAAATATCATAACAAGCGAAATGCCTGATATAATGATAGTCGTCAAAACAGAGGTACTTCAAAGAAAAGGGTTCTTAAGAATTAGTATTGAAACATGAAGCATTCACGTTCTAAAAGACTTAAAACGGTAAATCGATGAAGAACAGCAAAAGAAGCCAACGACTGTTAAACGTCTTTGCGTCGCAGACATCCCCTTCTGCATTTCCAAAGATAATCCGATATTCTTACAGTATCTGTCCTTCGCCCTTTCTTATCAGAATTTATGGCTCGTGCCTTTTTTTAAATACAGCGCTCCTTGAACAACGTGTACTTCCCAGAGAAGTGTTTTTTTGCGTTTCTTGTACAAGAGTCAAAAGACAAGTGTGCTTTAATCTGGGATGAGTTTACTTTTCAGACTCATCGCCCTGATGACGAAGCAAGTTCCTCTGAAACGTCCGTGAACTTCCACCTACAAAAGCGCTACATCCCACAAGACAGCCATCTTCATACTCGCCGTCGTAAGAACCTCAAATCCTAATGATAATTTAATTTAATTGCAATCCCAGAACAGAAAAACACTTCTTACGCAACTCCGCGCCCTTAAAATTAATCTTCCAGGTTACCGGCTGTGGTTTCTTTTCTTGTACAAGTCTTAAGGGTTCGCGCAACGCTCTAGTGACGACTCTATCAGCGAAAACTGTCAACTGGAAGTATGTCATGCGAAGTCTATAGAAAAATCTTACGAGAAGAAGAGATAGGATGGTGGGACACATTCTGAGGCACCCAGGATTGGTTAATTTGGTAATGGAAGGAACAGTTGAAGGGAAGAATTGAAGGGAAGAATTGAAGGGGGGGGG